GCAAATCCACTTCCAATCCTCTCACCGAGAGGTATACTCCCGGGTGTGAGCAGACATATATACATGGCATCCATTGTTTCTAACAACAAGAGATTGGAAACGACCTAAATGTCTACGAACAATGATTGGTGAAATAGGTTAGGGAATATCCACATACTAATACACTGTTCTCAACCCTTCTAATGTCGCCACCCTCTACTATAGAGCCCGAGACCATTGGAAAACACAGATACTTACATTACAACTCATAACAGTAGCAAAATTATAGTTATGAACTAGCAACAAAAATAATGTTATGGTTGGGGGTCACCACAACTTGAGGAGTTGTATTAAAGGGTTGTGGCATTAGAAAGGCCGAGAGCCACTGTACTAGAAGGTCATAAGGCTGAAAAAAACGAGGGCGGCCTTCATGTACTCATAGGATTGTCCCTGAGCAGGGCACTGAACGATCCATTGTAGCTTCTGAATATTCCCTAGCCAACGTTTCAAATTCAATTAAAAATGATAATGGAGATAATGGAGATAGAAGCCGCAACAAAATATAGAACACTACAGAAAATTGAGCTAGTAGGGTTGAGAATGTGCAAGATAATATTTCTAGAGGGAAAAATATAGTGGATGCAATTAAAAACTCACTGAATAGGTTAAACAGATTGAACATAGCTGAAGAAAGAATGACCAATACATATATTCAAATTTTCCATAAAAAATATTGAGAGGAATCAGAGGGGAACCTATATATTCAGTAAATGATGCTGAGAAAATAAAATATCCATATAAGAATTAGATTCCTATTTCACATTTTAGAAGAAAAATTTTAGAAAGTATATAGTATATTTAAAAACAACACTTGTATTTTCTTAGATTAAGGAAGAATTTCTTAAATAAGAGCAGAGTGAAACCATAAGAAAGTTAGTAAATTTTATTTCACTAAATTTAAGAAAAAAATGTAAATAAAAGACACCAAAAACAATAATTAAAAAATAATAACAATAATAATAAAAAGGTCAGAGAGATAAGAAGAGATTCACCATGCACATAGCCCAGAAAAATGAATCTCAAATATAGAAATAATTCATATATGTCAATAAAAAGTCAAAAAACCCATGCAAAGCTGTTAATAGAAAAATTTACCATCTGAGAAAAAGCTCAAACATTCCATAAATGTATCAAAAGGTAAGACATCTCAGATGCAATCAATTAAAATATGATACTATTTCACACAGATTGGCAAAAAGCAAAACAACTACGATAATTCTTGGAGGGAATGGAAATTCTCGTGACCCAGCTACTTTGAAGATCAATTTGACAGTAGCTAGTAATGCTGATGACCACACACCAAATGATTTAGAAATTCCATTTCCAGATCTCATTTGCGTGCACAAGAGGGTCACAAAGTACTGTTTACACTCACAAATGTTAGAAACCACCGGACGAAAATCAAGGCATGGGTAAGTGATCTGGGTATACTCACGCAATGGAATACCATACAGCAGTGAGAATGAATGACCTACCCTGTTTCCCCGAAAATAAGACAGTGTCTTATATTAATTTTTTTCTCCCAATGTTGTGCTAGGTCTTATTTTCAGGGGATGTCTTATCTTTCCATGCGCTGGGTCTTATTTTCGGAGGATGTCTTATTTTCAGGGAAACACGGTAGTACTCATAGGAATGTAGGGAATCTAGGAAAAGTAATGGTAAACAGTAACACAAGTTGACAAAGGATATCTATCCACCATACAACAGCAGTCGTATAAATTAAGAAATACCAAGATACCCAAACGACCAACTTGTGTTTTGTTGTAAACACTATTTATAAGTATACTGGAGGCCCGGTGCATGAAATTTGTGCACGGGGAGAGGGAGGGGGTCCCTCAGCCCAGCCTTCACCCTCTCCAATCTGGGACCTCTCTGGGGATGTCTGACTGCCTCTCACAATCTGGGACCACTGACTCCTAATCACTTGCCTGCCTGCCTGCCTGATTGCCCCTAACCACCTCTGCCCGCCTGCCTGATCACCCCTAACTGCTCCCCTGCTGGCCTGACCACCAATAACCTCAGTGACATTGCACACATGCAGAGAATATACACCGGCTTCATGATAAAGGGTGACTCTGGGAGTGCAGTGAGGTGGGGCTTTAGCTATATTTATTATTTTTTTATTTCTATAACAAATTTTGGAAGATGACAAAAGGATAGCATCTGTTATAACTGGGTGTTCAGTAAGTACACGATTTCCTGTAATTTCAAGCATTTTCTTTGTTACTGAAAACACATTATTGCTCTGGCCGGTATAGCTCAGTTGGTTGAGTGTTGTCCTGTGCACCGAAAGGTCACCGGTTCGATTCCCGGTCAGGGCACGTGCCCCAGTGGTGGGTTCAATCCCCACTTGGGGCATGTATGGGAGACAACAGATTAACGTTTCTCTCACTGATGTTTCTCTTTCTCCCTTCCTTTTGCTCTCACATCAATAAAAACATATTGAAGTAAATAAATAAGAAGGAAGATTTAAAAAATGTTATAAACAAACACTTTGGAACAGAACAAAAGGCAGCCCTTCATTCCGTGTATTACGGTGCAGCAGACCAGGTCTGGCTGCTCGCTGCAGCCCCAAGGGGAGCCATCACTGTAATGGCTAAGCGATTTGCACTAAAGAGGAGACTCATCGGTGTGCATTCCCACCACTGCTACAATAGAAGGGCTAAGTGCCCACACCTTAAATATATTTTCAACAAACAGCAGAAACCAGCTCCAATAAAAACACCTCGCCAGGAATTCATGCAGGAAACACCACCGCCGAGAGAGGCTTCGTGCTAACGGTTTCCGCAGCACTTCCCGTGGAGCAGACGGGATGGCGGGCTCCGCAGCCTCCACTCAAGGGGACGACGTGACGGCTGTTGCCATAGCAGCCCCGATCTACCTCGGTGGTGTTTAACCAGGGGACGGGGATGGTGGGGAAACTGCATTGGCTCTTAGATTCCCTGGTTTTACAGAAGCAAAGCGCCCACAGCTGGGAGACACGGTGTCTCAGGCTGTGGGGCCCCACGGAACGCAGGGAAAGAAGACCCCCTTGGTGGAAAGCAAAGAGTTGGTGCCCATCTGAAAGGGTCACCTTGGCTCATGACCAAGATTCAGAAATGACCCCCCAGTCTGGTCACAAGTACAAGTTGAAGAACTCTGTGCTAACGATTAAGAAGATACATCATAGCCCCGTCATTCATTCATGGTTTGGGCAATTTTATTTATGAAGAATGGGAACTGGCCTAAGAATTCCAGATGTACTTTTCCCTTCTCCTGTTTCTCTGCTGTTCTCCACATTCCTTTACTTTGTGGGGATCGCAGAATAAGAATATGAAGCACACTTGCCTACTTTATATCCCAGGACTCCCATTTTGAGGCCATGATGTAGGCAGCAAGAAATAATCGCTGGAATCTCTCCCTCCTGAACAAATCAGCTGTGATGGGGTTTCCTGCACACCCTCCTCTCCGTGACTCTCCCCCAAACTCTGGTTAATTTTACTTTTCATCTTTGTGTTTTTAAAAATATTTTTAATGGAAATTTTTAGAAACATCAAAGATGAGAGAGAATCATTAATCAGCTGTCCCGTGGACGCCCCCTACTGGGGGTCAAGCATGTGCCCTGATTGGGAATTGAACTGTGACATCCTGGTTCATAGGTCAATATTCAACCGCTGATCCACACCAGCCAGGCAAACACTGGTTAATTGTAGATCAGAGTGAAGGTCTGATTGGTTAGTGTTCCTGCCTGTTCTGCACCTACTCTGTCTCAAGTTTAAGGCTTTCTTTCATCAAATTCCTGTTTTCTTTCCTCCACTGCATGGGGATCGTGTATTTCATCATCACCCCAGTTTTCTGTTCCACCTCCTGTCATTGGTTCTTTTTTCTACCTCACATTTGTTTAGTTGTTCTACCCCTGAGCACTTCATTCTGTTCCTGACCCTGACCGATGCCCCAAATGTTTTCAGTCCTCTGACAACCTATGGGAGGCCTGACACCCTATGGCCTGGCACACGCTTCCTGGGGCACAAGCTTCCTGCATTCCATCTATGACTTGCCTTTTCCTTACCAGCTCGGCTGTTAGTGGGGGGTACCCGTGTGCAGTGGGGACACACCATCCTAAGCCCACCGCCAACTCTGAAGACATTTTCAAGTGTAAGGAGTGTCACCATCCTATCAACGTGACTGTGCTCTTGTGGTTTCGCCGGAGATCTGGCTAAGCCTCAAGCCAGGCTCCACAGAACAATGCTGCTCTGTCACCGTCAGGCCTTCTCACAAAGGACTTCTGTCAGAAGAATGGGCTCCTTGGTCCCATTCTTTTGAGCTTTTGAGAAACAGCAGTGACAAGCATTTATTTCTTATTGTACAGGGTTTCGTTGAGGAAACAATATACATAGTGTATCTATGAATTTTATTTTCCAGTCCCTTCACTTTCACTGTCAAACACTGACGTTCCACCCCTCAGGCTTCTTGGGGGGTATTTTTATTCCTGGGATGAGGTGCCCATGCAGTTTAATATGAGAGGGAATAGAATGCCAACACTTCCTAGCCTTTTCTATGAACGTCTTGGTTGAGTGAACTTGCTTTTTCCTCTCAGCAAACCCCAGTACATTTTACTAATAAGAATTTGATCACAACCCTAACTGGTTTGGCTCAGTGGATAGAGCATCGGCCTGCTGACTGAAAGGTCCCAGGTTCGATTCCGATCAAGGGCATGTACCTTGGTTGTGGGCACATCCCCAGTAGGAGGTGTGCACAAGGCAGCTGATCGATGTTTCTTTCTCATCGATGTTTCTAACTCTATCCATCTCTCTTCCTATCTATAAAAAATCAATAATATATATATTTTAAAAGACTTTGATCATGGATTACAGGCATGAGTGGATCAATTCAACACAACTGATTTGCAAGAAGTGCTCCCGAGTGAGTGAACTGACATGTTCTGGAGGCAGGTCTCCCTGTCTGACGCCAGCATCGCTCACCTGCACAGGGACTTGCCGCGAAGCCCACCCTCTTCCGAGCTCTGTCGAAGATCACGTAGAAGCCCTCCATCACGGTAGCACCAATCACCAGCGCATTCGTGGACGGTGAAATGCCAAATCGGTAGCACTCGTAATTCAGGCCAGCCCTCATCATGGGCTGAATGTAAAGCTGGTGTTTAAGAGAAAAGAGGAAACAAGAAGCAGCACAAATCAGGCAACATCACACAGCTGTCATGGTCACAGGGTGCTCAGAACTCTCCAAGATGCTATTCGTGCTACAGATAGATCTACGAGTTGAAATGTGGTGGTGATAAGCATGGTGGTGATAAACACTAGTGAGAGTATCAGGAACATGTGCATCATCTGAAACTGTACACAGGGACAACCATACTCAGACTGCCATCCACCTATCTATTTAGTCATCCATTCATCAAGTCATCCATCCATCTAGTCATCTGTCCATCTGTTTGCCCGCCCATCCATCCATCCATCCATCCATCCATCCATCCATCCATCCATCCACCCACCTATTCACCCATCCATCTGTCCTTCCACCCATTCAACCATCTGCCCACCAGTTATTTTTTGAGCCTAGATACTGCCCTTGGTACCAGCAATCCAAGGACGAATAACACATGGTTCCTGTCCCAGCCAAGCTTCCCATCTAAGGGGGCAACAGGTGAGTAAATATTGAATCAGAAGTATTCCAACAGGTCCCTTCTATTGATAACGTTGGCCTGCTAGTTCTCTCCTCATCACAACTCTCTCCACCTCATCTCTAAGAGAGGGTCCTCTCTTCCTCTTTCCTCCCAACTCACTGGCTACTCCCTCCCAGGCATCTGCACTGGATCTGCTTCCCCTTCCTCACCAGTCAGTATCAGAGAACTGCAGAGCTCTAGCTTTCTCTCCATCTTTCCTCCCAGGTGGCTCATGCAGCCCCATGGCCCTCAGCACACCCCCTGTGCTCTATGCCGAGGCTCCCAAATCTTTACGTCCAGCCCAGATCTTTGCTGCCCTCGCCACATGCTTCTGTCCACCTGCCCACTCACTCATCATCAGTTGGCATCTCAAGTGTAACAGTAAGAAGATAACCCTGAACTTTGGCAATTGCCACAATCTGCTCATTTGAAGGCTCTCTGTCTCAGTTAAATCTGTGACACAGCCTTGACTCAGGTGCCACAGCACCAGGTCAGTATCTCTGATCTCCCACTGAGACTGCACATGGCACCGGCGGCCTTCCTTTGAAATAGAACCTGATCTGATCACTTCTCCCATCTCGATCATCACCACCCTGGTCCAGGTCATGGTTGGCCTCTGCTCTCCTGATCTACAACAAAGGTCCCTAACTGGCTCCAGGATGCACAGGTAGGATGACTTCCTCAGTGCAAGAGGCAAAAACCATCACAATCAGAGAGAAGACAGGGCATCAAAAGATAAAAAGCTCTGACATGTGTGAGGCCCGTTCTGAGGTCCCCAGGAGGCAAGAGTTATTGGGGACATGAGTTAAATCCAACAATCAGTGAGCAAATCATATCATATTAGTAACAATTCCTCTGTTGTTGTTTTTTTAATGAAAAAGTATTAAAATGTAGGCAGTTAAGAGAGAATGGCTTGGTATGACATGACAAATATATTTTTTTGAAAAAACAACAACAACAACAACAAAAAACACACAATAAAGCACAAAATAAGTGAGAAGGATTTTGCCCTAAAGGATGAAAGCACTAAGGAAAACTTGAAGGAACAAGTTAATACTCAGATAGGCAATCTTGGGCCTTCTGGGAATGTGAGAGGTAGGGATATTGGAGGGACGAGCAAAGACTGAAAGGAGATCAGAGGGAGGGGCTTCTGTATGATGACTGATGGAGGTGGAGGAGGTGGCTGACTGGGCCGAGTGTGGGTCTTTGGAATGGTATGCACAGGAACAGCATTTAAAATCCAAACAGAAAAGGAAGCCAGAAGCTGTGCTGGCAAAAACATAAGTGATCAAACTGACGCTGAGGAAGGTTAACACCACTGTACTTCCCCTGCAGGGCGGATGGGAGGGAGAGGGGCTGCAAGGAAGGGGAAGCACGGACGGACGGATGGACGGACGCAGTGGTAGCAGGGCCTGGAGTCACCACCTGCTGGGCATCGAGCAGCTACTGTGTCCAGGGCGAACCCTGCACTGATTGGTGTGTCTGTCTGCAAACCCCTCTTCAAGGCCAGGCATCATTCTACTCCTCCCTGTGTGCCCAGCACCTAGGCAACTAGTATACGCCAGGCATATAGGAAGACCTCAATAAATACGTGTCAAATGAATGAATGGGGCTAAGCTTTAATCAGTGCTAAATTAAGTGTGTGTGTCGCGGGGGGGGGGGGGGGGGGGAGGGGCGGGGAAGGGAGGAGAAGGTGGCTTAGCTGTTACAGAATCAGAAACACACACACACACACACACACACACACACACACACACACCCGTCTTTGAATGAACTAATCCCACAATGAAACCCAAATAATTATATGAAGTATGATGCAACTGATGATACTGATGCGAACAGAATTTGTATCTTTTATTCTGGCCTGTCTGTTGGGTCCCAGTTGAACTCCCGATAAAAATTCCAGACTGTCAATGTGTCACATGTCGGGAAAGCTGTGGCATTTCTGGATCTCAGAAGAAACTGTCTGCCTTACGCTGAGTACAAATGGGCGAACCAGTGGCACCAAGACTGAAACTATTTACACGTACAGGGTTATGTGAAAAAACAATCAGAATTTGTCTGAGAGCTGGAAATGGATTTTTTAACAGGCCAAAGAGAACTCAGCTGGTGTGTTGCTGGAAAACGGTGTTGATGACAATCCAGACTCTCCTGCTCTAGCAGCCACCTGCCCAGCTCTGCCTGCTGGGCCTGAAGGTCCCAGGTAGGGACCCCAGGCTAATACTTTGGGGACAAGGAGCCCTGTGATTGCTCTGAATGTTAGGAAAGGGGTGGAACAGGCAGAGCTGACGTGTTAGATGACACCAGTGCGTCCTTGAGGGGTGGGACCAGCATATGGAGCGTGCATGGTTCTCAGCAGGGGATTGCTCACAATTGCACATCCATGTCCTTCCCAACAGGCAACGGAAAGCAAACATGATGAGGCTGAATAAAAACTCAAACGATGGGGAATGTTGATTTTTAAAAACCAAAAATGTGAACATGTCAAAGTCAATCCCCCCCAAAAACTACAGTCTCATAAGTGAGAATAAGACTGGATTCTTGCCGAAACCGGTTTGGCTCAGTGGATAGAGCATCAGCCTGCAGACTGAAAGGTCCCAGGTTCGATTCCAGTCAAGGGCATGTACCTTGGTTGTGGGCACATCCCCAGTAGGGGGTGGGCAGGAGGCAGTTGATCAATGATTCTCTCATCGATGTTCCTAACTCTCTATCCCTCTCTCTTCCTCTCGGTAAAAACTCAATAAAATATATTTTTTAAAAAAAGACTGGGTTCTTACTCAGAGATATGCACATGGACGCCACTTCCCCACCCTGCTTCCTGTGTCCCCACACTCACCCTGTGCTTGACCCTAAGAACACCGACAATCCCCAGGGAACTTTCAGCTTTGATGGCTATTAGCTGCCCGGGACGTAATAGGTTTTTCCCTGATTGCCTGCTTTTTTCCTCCTGCTTCTTGCGAGTCCCTGACTCTGCCAACCACCCACACGCCGTTTATTTGCCAGGACACGTCCACCTGTGTCCTCCAGTTAGGCTTTAACTTCAGTCACAAACCACGCTGATGAAATAACGTCCACATTTGGCTGGCTGGCAGACCAAAATATAGTTGTAAAAAGTACATTATTTTAAAGATGCTGAAAACATATTCCAACATCACTCTTTGCAGTGCCGTGCAGCCAAGGTCATGGCCATCTTCTGAACATGCCACTGCAAGTATTACCATTTCTCCTTTATACTTAAAGAGGTAGACGCAGATAAGGCGAGTGAGTCAAGGACAGTGTCCTCTGCCGGACTGTATTTCAGTCTTTTCCCCAAATGTCCATTTCTGGAATGCTACCCCCTTCTGCTAAGGAAGACAGAAGTTGGTCTATTTAATTAGATGCTTGGGCTGAAGAAGGAATCAGTGATTTATTTTATATGGGGGAAATGATATCTTAATCTCGGAGTATCCAGTTTTATTTTTTATTTATAAATAAGTAGGAAAAACCCACCTATTGGTAAAGATGAAAGATGGAGAAAAGGCAGTATTATCACTTACTTGTTTCTTCTGAAATTATTCCTTCTTTCCTACCTCCTAGCCACACTCCTGTATCCCAAATTCACCAGATTATATGACGTAGACCCAGGGCTTAGCCATTTAACAGTCACAGGGCACTCCCCTCCCCCGCATGGCAGTGTTGTGGAAGGCAGGGTGGTCTTTAAAACTCATGGTTCTCATCTTCAAGGAAAGAATTGAGAGAGAATAGAAGTGTGTGTGTATGTGTTTTCAGAAAACAGAAGCCAAAGGGAAAAAGGCAACAGCATAAAATATACCCCAAAGACATGGCCCCGTGCCAGATGCGTAGCCTGGAAAACGCGCATTGTGGGCTTGAAGGGCAACTCACAAATGGGTCATTCTGCTCAGCGGAGGTTCCACAAAGGATGGGTTGTTCTAGTCGGGTCTTCGAGGACGGGGAGAATTCAGATGCACAGATGGAGTGGGGACCAGAAGGCCTTTCAGGCAGGGAGTGGTGAGGGGCGGGGAATGGTGAGAGCAAAGGTTAGGAGAGGGAGCAGGCACTGTGGCCAATCAGTGGAGGATCATGGATGGAGCAGGAAATAGAGGGGAGAGCAAGGAAGGGCCCAGCGGGGGAGTCCTGGAGAGCCACACCAGGGAAAGAGACCATCGGCATTTAAACAGTGGCACTGAAGCCGAAACCAATTTGGCTCAGTGGATAGAGCATCGGCCTGTGGACTGATAGGTCCCGGGTTGGATTCCGGTCAAGGGCATGTACCTTGGCTGCGGGCACATCCCCAGTTAGGGGTGTGCAAGAGGCAGCTGACCAATGATTCTCTCTCATAGATGTTTCTAACTCTATCCCTCCCTCTTCCTCTCTGTAAAAAATCAATAATATATTAATTAATTAATTAAATAAATAAATAAATAAATAAATAGTGGCACTGAAAGCTGTGGTTTAGGAAGCCTGACCCGGAATCATTGTAAAGGGAAACAGAGTGGTGACATGGATGCCTGCAGGGCACCCTGGAGGTTCCCGAAGTGATAGAAGGGGGAGTGAGGGACATAGTGAGAGCTATGGGGAGAGGCGAGAGCATGACTAAGGAAGACAGGAGTTGGTCTATTGAATTAGATGCTTGGGATGAAGAAGGAATCAATGATTTATTGCATATGGGGGAAATGGTGTCTTAATCTCTGAGAATCCGGTTTTATTCTTTATTTACACATAACTAGGAAAAACCCATCTATTGGTATTGTTGGAGATGTTGCAAAAAATGTCCTCAATTCTTGACCTTTCCTTGTAGCCACCCCCTTGTGATGTGACTTTGCAGACCCTCCCACTGGGAGGTGGTGTCTACTCCTCCACCTGGGAGTCTGGGCTGGCCTTGGCCTTGTGTGGGCAGCACTGTGCAGGAGGTGGTGGCTAGTTCTGGGAATAGATTGCAGGAGTCCCCGAGTTTCTTCTCTCTCAGAAGAAGAAACCACTGCATGAGTCACTGCTGGATGGTGAGCCAACAAACAGCCCTATCACTCCACTGACCTAGCCACCAGAGTAAATGAGGCCATCCCAGAGCCCAGACCAAGGCCCACCGAGACCAGTGCCCACCTAGACCAACCTAGACCAAGGCCAACTTAGACCAAGACCAACCTAGACTGAGGCCACCCTAGACCCAGCCAACACCAGCTGACAAGACACAGGAGAGCAAGCCCAGGAGATCAGCAGACCCACCCAGCCTCCTGAGCAGGAATTAAAGCTCACTGATAAAGCTGCTGCTATCCGTGGTTGCTTGTTACTCGGCAGCACTGTATATCTATGCCTGTGCTAGGTATTGATTATTAGATATTAGGCATGAAGGGTTTTACTTTTGCACGCTACACGTCGAAGAGGGAAAACCACAAATCCAAGCTCCTACCTGAGGCAGGATAGTGAGGCGGAAGGATCTGCTGGAGTTCTCGTCTCTCAGGTAGATGGAGATTTTCGGGAAGTAAGACCAAGGTGTTTCGGGACTCGGCCAGCATGCCAGCTGGGATCCAGTCCAGAAACCATCCGAGAATTCTGGAATCTAGACAAAGCATGATAACGTGAGAACTAATGACTAGTCTGGCGCGTCAACAGGAAACAGCTCCCAGCTCTTCTTGTCACCCCGCCAGAGGCCCACGGGGATAAACAGGGTTTAATTTGGACGGCGCAGGGGGCCATCAATCCTCTGGAGGGGAACGGTGCTGACAAATAACAATTACTAACACACCGAGGCTCGTGGAGCACTCGCCGGCATGAGGCACCTTTGTAAACGCTTTGCAGTCTAATCTAATCCTCAGACACTGCCTTCAGTGCAGTAACATTACCCCCTCTACTTCACAGACGAGGAAACCAAAGCACCAGGAAGTGAAGTGGCTTGCCCAAGGTAACACTGTAGTTGGCAAGGACCCTTTAAAAGAGAGACCTGATCCTAAAAGTGGCCCTGGGGACCTTTCAGGCATCGTCTCTCCTTTGAATTCCCTGCGCCCAGCAAGCTTCCTCCAGGTACAGAGCCCCTTGCGAGCTTTCCGCTCTTCTGGAACATCTTTCTCCTCTCCAGATCTCAGCTCAGATGACGCCTTCTCCAGGAAGCCCTCCCTGATTCTCTCCCCCCCCCCCCCCCCCCCCACATAATGCTGGTCCTCCACTGGGGATGCCCCTGTAGCAGTTAGTTTGACATTTATTGTGATTGGTTCACTTCCGTTTCCTGCACTAGGATCTGAGTCCTCTAAGGACAGAGGCCTGCTGTCTGCATCCCCTTGGTCCTAACAAAGCCCACCAGGGAGACCCGGGGCAGATTGTGGGAAATATGAATGGGCTGGAACACAGAACGCCCACCTGTGCCTCTCGTCAGGGGACTGGAAGGATAGTCACCTAGCATGTCTATTAGTTGCTGAATCTTCAGTGAATGACAAGTTCGAGCCATGCCATCTCGCCAGGACCAGCGGAGGCACCAGAGTAGGGCTGCCCTGGGCCTGCTGGTTCCCAGAGGGAGGACCGCGTGGGAGGCTCCTCTGCTACCAGCACACCCCTGCCAGCACAGAGCCCTGCTGGGGGACTATGTGGTGGGGACAGGGCTAGGAGAGTACTGACAGGGAGGAAGGCGGGTGTTTGTCCCTGAGGTAAGAACACCTGGGCTGAGTTAGGGACAAAAGGGCATTGGTGAGGTATAGTGGGAGGGAGGGGGTAGGAGGAGGGAGGAGGGCAGAGCATGAGACCTGCCCCACTGGGACGCAGATGACAGCCACGGAGGACAGAAAGCGCATGAGGCAGGCATGGAGAGAGCCAGGGCGCCACGGTGCATTTATCAGAAACCGTTTCTCAGAGGCCTGGGATCCACGGCACACAGTGTCACTGCTGCATTCCAGTGGGACCTGCAGTCACTTGTCTGAGTCCAGCCTCCGGGGGAGGAAGGGGGCGTGGCTGAATTCCAGAGTCACAGACAGGAGGGTGGGATGGGCCATGGACAGAGCACTTAGGACAGTAGAGGGAGGAGAGGGACCTAGGACCCACCCAGAGAAATGGGCAGGAAGAGAGACCCCGAAAAGGGTGGCCCAGGGCTGGGAAGAGGTGCCTGGAGGAGGGAATGATGGAAGCTGAGGCAGCTAAGCACACTGCTGTGCAGAACACGTGGGGCAGGTACAGAGGACACCATGGCGGGGCAGGATGAACGCGGGGTGCGTCCTGTGCTACACAACTGCACACACCGGCGCCAGCCCTCCCTCCCGGTGACAGAGGGAGAAATATCCTGTGTCTCTCCATCCACGGAAGCCTGCCCCTGGACTGCCCAGGAGTGACCTGCAAGATCTCTAACACTGGCTTTAATGCAGTGTCTCCTTTGATAAAAGCGAAGTCGATTGGAAATGGGCATCCTAGGGACGAGCCTCTTGCCAGACGATGAGGCGGGGCAGTCATTTTGCCAGAAAGGGTGGCTCGGCTGGCCCACGGCCCACAGCTCTGACATCAGCACTAAGAGCAGGTCCAGCCACGGATGGAGAATGAAGCTCAGAGAGGCCAAGGAGCTGGCCTGAGGGGCCCAGCTCAGAACTGTCTGCCTCCAAAGGAATCTTGGAAGCTTCCAGGGGCTAAGCCATGTGGGCGGGGGGTGGAGAGGGCTTAGCTCACGGATCTCTAACAGAGTCAGAAATCATCTGGAAGCTGGTCCTCTGCTTGTGTGTTTAGAGTTGCAGAAGCACAAGGCCTGAGATGCATCGTACCACAGCGGAGAGGAGTGGAGCCCAGTCTCTGCCACACACAAGTCCCCACTGGGCTCATTTCAAAATACAGGCCTACCCACCATCTTATCTAATAAAAGACTAATATGCAAACTGACCTTCACATACAAGATGGCTGCCCCCATTTGGCATAAGATGGCTGCCACAAGATGGCCAGCAGGGGAAGGCAGTTGTGGGCAATCAGGCTAGCAGGGGAGCACAGTTGGGGGCGACCAGGCCTGCAGGGGAGGGCAGTTAGGGGCAACTGGGCTGGCAGAGGAGCAGTTAGGAGCCAATGAGGCTGTCAGGGGAGTGGTTAGGGGGCAATAAGGCTGGCAGGCAGAAGCGGTTAGGGGCAATCAGGCAGGCAGGCAAGCGAGCGATTGGGACTCAGCAGTCCTGGCTTGTAAGAGGGCAGTCGGACATCCCTCTAGGGGTTCCAGATTTGAGAGGGTGCAGGCTGGGCTGAGGGACACACTCCCCCACAACCCCCGTGTATGAATTTCATGCACTGGGCCTCTAGTTCATTTCTAAAATCCCAAGGCGATAGTCCACACAGGAGCCAGAGTCCAACGAGCCAGCCTTTCCCTGACCCGAAGGAAGACCAAGCCGGGAGTGGCTCCGAGGGCCGGCAGACAGAGAACAAACACGCCTTTGGTGCACACCCTCCTGGGACAAGCAGCCTTCCCAGGTTGCTCCTCCTGACGCGGGCTCCGGGGTCACAGGATCCGTGGCGACGAGGCAAACACATTTCTTAATTTCCCTCCTGCACCTCGTGGTTTTCTTACAAAGCCAGTCACTGCCCAACCCATGATCCAATGACCACGGGGTGCCAACACCTGCCAGCCACAGCCTGGCGCTCTCTCGGCCCGCAGAGGCTCCACTGGCGGTCGGTCACACGCCCAGGCTCCGGGCACTTCCGTGGCCCATGGGGAAGTACTCACAGCTCAGAGCATTACACCTGACAAGCACTGGTAGCTCAGAGCATTACGCCTGACAAGGCCCGTGTGGACTCTGCTGCGGACATGTCCATGAGTAAGGGAAATGGGCAGATGCCTCCGTAATTCGAGCATCGAGCCTCATCTGATTTGCCGCCAGCATTCTGAATGTCAGGCTCTAAAACTTCAGGCCTTCCTTGTCTGATTCAGCGGATATTAGACGGCTCTGGCTGCCGCCTTGATGACCTTTTAGTGCCTCCATGTTCTTGCTTTTTTATTCCTCCTCTGCAAGCTTTTTGTTTGCCTGCTGCTCTTCCTGCGGAAGTTTTATATCTGTCTGTCTGTTTGTCTGTCTATCATTAATCCTTACATGAGGAAATTTTCCCCATTGATTATTAGGGAGCGTGGAAGGGAAGGAGGGAGCGAGAGAGAGAGAAAAACATCAATGTCAGACAAACACATTGATTGGCGGCTCCCGTGTGCGCCCCAACTGGGGCCGGCAATGAATTTGCAACCCAGGTACGTGCCCTTGACTGGGAGTACCATTCAGTGCACAGGTCAGTGTTCTACCACTGAGCCACACCGGCCAGGGTCCCATGGCAGTTTCAGACTCTTGAAGTTTCTGTTCAGGACAACTACAAGCCCTCTCTCTCTTCCCAGGTTCCCGCCATCACCTGTAATAAAGCAACTGCTCTGCCTTTTCTGATCAAGCATCCTTTGAACTCGGCCTTCCCAGCAGAGTGAGAAATCAGCCGAGTTAGTAGCAGGACAAGGACTCAGCGGGAAACACTAATTTCCGGTGACTTTGACAGGGGGTCCCTCATGGACAGATTTTTTTTTTTTTTTAATATATGTTATTGAGTTTTTACAGAAAGGAAGGGAGAGGGATAGTTAGAAACATCGATGAGAGAGAAACATCGACCAGCTGCCTCCTGCACCCCCCCCCACTAGGGATGTGTCCGCAACCAAAGTACATGCCCTTGACCAGAATCGAACCTGGGACCTTTCAGTCTGCAGGCCAATGCTCTATCCACTGAGCCACACCGGTTAGGGCTGGACAGATCTTATTATAAAAACACCCCAGCGGCTGGGAGGAACGTGTGTCTTGCATTCACACAGTAGCAGCACTTCAGGGTGGACACTGGATGGCAGCTCCTCTGTCCCGAGCACCTGGGCACAGGACTTGACCCCAGAAAAATACCGCTGAGAATGTGGGGGCCCTCAGGGGGCCCAACCCTTCCCAGGCACTCTGCTCATCCATGCCAGAAATCAGACTAACTTCAGTCCCATCTGACCCCAGAGCTGTGTCCTTCCCAATCAATGCCAGCCAGTCCACTCCGATGCCCCAGACTGGAAAATGGGGGTCACCCTGGGAATACCATCAGCCAGGTCCCCACAAAGCACTGTGTCTGACCACGATTTCAGTTGTGTTACTGAATGTGACCACACAGTCATTATTATATCGGCCAACTGGTCCTCGTCACCGGTGGGTCACATTCTTTTACAACAGAATGAAACTCCCAACGCAGCCCTAACCAGTTTGGCTCAGTGGATAGAGCGTCGGCCTACAGACTGAAGGGTCCCAGGTTTGATTCCGGTCAAGGGCAGGTACCTTGGTTGCAGGAACATCCCCAGTGGGGAGTGTGCAGGAGGCAGCTGATAAATGTTTCCCTTTCATCGATGTTTCTAACTCTCTATCTCTCTCCCTTCCTCTCTGTAAAAAATCAATAAAATATATTTTAAGAAAAATTCCAACACAGCTTGAATGAGGCCTGCTAAGGAGTATGATTTCTGGTTTATTTCTTTAGTTTTAAAGGCTACAAACATATTCCTGGTTTACTATTTATTGTAATGTAGTATATTGCCCATTTCTATTCTTCGATTAAGACACTGTACTGCACTGACTACACTATCATTTCAAATACAAAACACTGCACCTTCAGATCCCAGTTCTCTCGGGTTAAAATGAAACAATGATGTGCCAGTTAACGTCAAATAACAAGATGGTGAAATGAATGAGAAATAGTTAAAAATGCACAGCCCTCAAACCCTCAGAGGGAGGCCAGTGGAACAGAGGGTCACACTGCCCAGCACGTGGCCATGACCTGTGTTCTCCCAGGTTCACCCGCCCCCACACTCACCAGAGACGCGCGGGCCACGCCGTCGACCACAGCATTGAACACCTTCAGGGGCAGGCGCAGCAGGGTGGTGCCGCTGTCCACGATGGCCTTGTCTGCGTTATACTAAAGGGGGAAGGAGAGGGCGCATGAGTGACACCACACCAGCCACCACCCCTGGGCATCGTCATACACAAGCTGGAGCAGCCACGACCCCTCCTTGGCGGTTACGATGAATTTTATATTCTGGAAACCTGGGTTATTATAGCTCAACGTTCTCACTTCACAGATGAAGAAACTGAGGCCAGAAAAGGGAAGTGGCATGACCAAAATCAGCAGCCCTCCCCACGCAGAGCCTGTCCTTCATGCAGAGGTGCCCAATGCCTTTACCCAGGAGCCTCCGGGGCAACCAGGGCAGACCCCCGTGCCCTCAGAGGGTGCGATGGCACATTAAATGCCATTTGCACAACGCACACCAGCCAGCCCTCCCTGAGGCTGCCCAGGGAGAGAGAAGCAGAGCCACCTTCCCTCGGAGCATCACACACACACACACACACACACACACACACTCACACACACACACACAGCTTGCATTTTACTTCAGGCCCTTGGATTCTGCCACCGGATTCTTTCATGGTGAACAAATGCCCTCTGACCTGGGTGGGATGGACCACCATCCATCCCGTCTCTGCGGGCTTCTCAGAGGCGTGTGGGTGCATGGGCCTTTGTGGGGGACTGCGACGGGGCGTGCGGGAGGACAGGATGCCGAGGTTGGAGGCATGAGGGAGGGATGTAATGAAATGCTGGGGGTTTTCATAAACCATTCTGAGAATTTCGTAGCAGACGAAGGCTCCCTCGAGTCATCATCAACATGATGATGCCATCACGTGCCGCTAATACGCCAACACGCAGTGAGCGGGGTGAGAGCCTGGCACTGGCTCTGGCCTCTCGGCCCTGCACACCTGCCTCCTTGTAGCTCAGCCAGCCATTCCCATCCTTAGAGCAGAACTTTTCTCTGAGTGAGGATTATACCGAGGGTGGGGGTGGTTAACTCTGAAGGAAAGATAAAGCTGATGCTTTCTTTTTGGTTTCGTTCAGCTTATTTTTGTCCCCTCTGTCCCTGACACCGATGAAACCTGCAGAATGGCCAAGGTGCAGCTCCAGGTGCCTCCCTCACTCACCATGTGGTGCTCATTTTTTCCTATTGAGCCACGTGATGGTAAAAAAACATTAAAAGAATTTTTTTTTTTAAGAGAGAGGTCAATTTAAACTTGTCATACAGCTAAAGGCCCTGTAATTTTTAAGGTCATGAATCTTTGATTTGTCTTGTAGTATAATGCACCTTCTGATTTCCCACAGGTCCCGCCTGCCACATTAGGCACCTCAGGCACACAGGCAGGCAGGCAGAGAGAGCGCACAGGGTGGGTACCTCTCTGCAGTCCAGATTAAGGCTCTGGCCTCCGACTTCCAACTTCAAGATTTCGATCTGATAATACCACTCCTCCTTAATCGGGGTGTACCAGATGTCTCCTTTGTACAGACTCGGTTCGACTCCTCCCAGGACCTAGGATGGAAAATAGTAACAGGGATGAGAGAGAAAACACACAGGCATACGGCACGTGACACAAAGCAGCGTGCCCTTGTAAGTCAAGCCCTCATTGGAATCGCACTTTCGCTTCAGGCTGATGTTACAAAACAAATGTATATACCTGAAAAGCGAATGTGGGGCCAGGTAGCCACAGGTCAGACAATACTCTGTCCCGTCTGATCAGGATGCTCCGGGGGTTCCCTCACCGACAGGAAGCACATGTAACTCCAGCTTTACTGTACCCAGGCTGTGCCCCCCAAAATGCAGTGAGGTAGTTAACCACCCAGCCGGACAGTGGCTCAGCCCTCAGGACAGAGGATGCTCTCCTACCCCACCAGTCCACAGAAGCAGAACACAGGGGAGCTGCCGTAATCAAACTTCGTTTTGCAAAATTACATAACCTTGCTCCACAAATCCTAGGCCCCCTCTCCCTTGAAGAGGGGATATCTAGGGGTTAAAAGCAGCTGCATTGCCCTAATGGGTGTGGCTCAGTGGATAGAGCATCGGATTGTGGACTGAAGAGAGCCATTTGATTCTGTCAAAGGCATATGCTCAGGTTGTGGGCTCTATCCCCTGTAGGGGACATGCAGGATCAATGATTCTCTCTCATTATTGATGTTTCTCTCTCTCTCTCTGCTTTTCCCTTCCTCTCTGAAATCAATAAATACATTTTTTTCCCCCAAAGGAAAGAGCAGCGGCACTGATGGCAAATGCAAGTGGCTGAGCCTGTTTCTCACAGCTGGAGAGCAAAGGCGAGGCAGCGCCTGCCCTGAGGAAGGCGCCCTCCTGTGCGTTCACCTGTCACCTCCTGCTGGAGACTGCGGGGTGCAGGTTCCATCAAGAGGTCACTCAGGGCTGATGGCTTTGAATGGTTCTGTTCCACTAACAAACACTTTAGCTGTGTGTGTGTGTGTGTGTGTGTGTGTATGTGTGTGTGTGTGTTGGGGAGGGGGCATATACAGGTGTTCTTATCTCCCCCAAACATATGAAATCACAGGCACTGCCTTTGTGTCCCCTCCCCAGAGTGAGGCCCACCTGCAGACCCCCCCTGGTTTTCACCTGCCCCTCCCTCACCCCTCAAAACCAGTTCCCTTCCACAGGAAAACTTTCAAAAAGCTTTAATGGAATTTGGGGAAGCTATGAGAATTATCCTTGGGATGGCAGGACCATTAGGAAAGATAAACATAACAGCTAACTTTATTCACTTTTGAAAAGCTTCTATAAGAACTATTATCAAACTCTTCCAAGGCCTGTGTACGCCTACATGTCTACCATTGCTATCCGGGTCTTTAATAAAATAAAACAAACAAACAAACAAACAAAAAAGAGCCCCCGTGTGTGTGAGTTTCTTTCGCCTCTGGAAGACGGAAAGATACCCACAAGACTACCTCCGTTGGTACCCGATCCGGCCGCCGGCAGTCCCGCCCCGCACATCTGCATGGAGAAGATGTTGGGGATTCCGGCTTGCCTCACGAGGGAGTCGAAAAAGGTCTCCAGAGAACTTGACGGCTGCGGAGGGAGGACAGGGACAAGGCTTCAGACTCACAGGCCAGGCGAGGAACGCCCAGGGCCCACACCACGGCATGTTCACATGGAACGTTTATCACAGCTACACGGTAAACACGCTTAGGACTAAGTACCTTCAACAATGACTCACACCCTCCGGCAGGACTTCCTGCCACGGGGGAGTGTTCCTGTCGGTGCGGGAGTGAGAGTGCTCCCGGAAGCTATTGGGAAGCTGTCCCTTCATCATCACCACAGCCGGGCGAGGCGGCGTGGGCAGCTGGGGAAGTGGCTTTCCGGTAGCCGGTGGATTCTCACTGCAGACATTTCGGAGGGAGGAGGAGCAGGGTCCCCGGGCTGGAGGTGGTCTGCATCTCTTTCAGAGTTGCAGACTCTGAAATGTCTGCAGTGAGAATCCACCACAGTTGTCTGTCCATCATGCAAATTAGGGATGCCGGACCCAGGGGACAGTTTGTCTCAGATCCCAGGCGGTTCAGCTGCCCACTGAACTCCTGAGCAGACCACTGGGGACTGAGCAGAAAAGGGGCAATGCTCTGCTCCTCACGCTGGAAAGTTGGATCGTTTATTCCCCGCAGCCAAATTTCACCCTACGCCTTCCTGACACGCAGCCCTCTATGCTGAGGACGCCTCCATTTCCCCAGGACTCAAAGGAGAAAGGGACGGTCTACGACCGCTCTGAGGTGGGGGTGGACCACGGGTGCTGGGTCCCAAAGGAAGGTCATGGGCTTGCGTTTCGATTGTGGCTCTGGCAGCTGGGAGATGGGAGAGCTCGTCACTCTCAGGGTTCGTTTTTGGTGGAAATTTAACTGCGGTAGCATGGATGCTACAGGCATATGCCAACAACCCGTGGTTAACAGAAGGCATGGTCATTTACTATCTGTAAGATAATACACATTATCACCGACAGTTCTGGAGGGAGGATGGAGAGAGCCCCACTAGCAAACATAGAATCTTCCCGTTTGTTGAGTTCATTTGCACTGTCTCCCACACAGCCCCCGTGGAATCTGGGGAGCCTGGGACGATGTCTGTCTTTGCCGCAGGACTTTGTGTTTGGGTCAGTGAGCGAGACGGAGGTGCCTCTGGACACGGGTGGGACCGGTGCTGACCCAGGCGGGTGTGGACATGGTGGGGCCAGTGCTGACCCAGGGGTGTTTTCCTGTAGCCCATCTCTCTGAGAGGCAGCACGATAACCACGGTGCAGGACTGAATCCCCGCTTCACCTGCTTCATTCACCCTGGGACTTGGTTTCCTTATCTGTGAAATGGGATAATAATGGGCTCTGAGAGTGGTTCTCAGCTACAATGGGTGTTATCTCATAAATGGCTGGGCACGGGGCCTGGCACAGTCAGGGATCTGTTAGGATTCCGTCAGGCCACCGTCAGTAGGACTGTGTCCATGTCCAGGGTCCCTGTAGAGATTTCAAAGCACACCGTCCCATGACTTGATGGAGGGGCGTGCTTGGACCTGGGCATCTGCAGGAGGGAGCCCCCATGGGTGCCTCCTCAGTGGGAAGCATCTGGGGTCCACCAGGGACTGCCACACCATGGCCACCACTCACTGTCATCAACCCACCCGCCCGCCTTGCCTGTCCCTGCTCCCTACACAGTCTCTCCGTCTCCTCGGCTCCCGGCGTGTGGGGCCAGTGGTTGCTCACCCTGGAATTTCGCAGACGAAAAGATAAAAGGCCACGTGGCACGCCTGGAAACCCCCACGTGGCTGACTCCCAAGGGAAGTTTCACATGCTATTCATTCTAGATCGGTTAGCTCGCCTCCACCGCCTTCCCAATAGCCAGCATGAGCATAATCACACCTACGTCTGTCACTTTCAAAGTCACACGAAGACGAAATGTTTGGCCCAGGGTCACGTGGTTGGTGAAAATACACTAAGAAACGAAAGGTACACAAATCCCCTACTAAGCTGGGCCTACAGTACCGAGAAAAGAGGGAGGTCCAGGACCGGGCTGGGCCCCCCAGACAGAGAAACAAGGCAGCTGCGGCTCTGACTGCCCTGGGCGAGGCGGACCTTTGATCCTCAGTGCACGCATCTCAATAGTGGGGTAACTTGCTCTAATCAGTTTGGGTCAGTGGACTGAAGGGTCCCGGGTTCAAATCTGGTCGATTCAGGTCAAGGGCATGCACCTTGGTTGCGGGCACATCCCCAGCAGGAGGCAGCTGGTCGATGTTTCCCTTTCATTGATGTTTCTAACTCTCTATCCCTCTCCCTTCCTCTCTGTACAAAATCAATAAAATATATATATATATATAAAAAAGGTGGGGAGTAACTTGACCTCACACAGTTAGCCTCTCGGGGAGCTCATGGGAACTGACATCATTGGTATTCTCAGCCGCGTGTCTCAGGGGGCTGGTTTTTCTCCTTGAGAAACCACAGGGCTGGGGACCCCCCTCCCCGCACTTGCTGCCCCCCCTACACCTTTCCCCTCCTCCACCCTTGCACCATCTGTTAGTAAACTTGAGCTGGAACAAATGTCCTTTGGAGGCGAGAGAGCAGGCCTTCCCTCCGGGTCCCTCAGGGATGCCGGGCTCTGTGGTCACTGGCCTGCCGCCCCTGCTGCTCCTGCCACTCCTGCCAGGCGCCTTTGGTTTCCCTCTTTGCTCTGCTCCAAGCCTGACCCTGAGCGAGGAGGGGTGGTGCCTGGGACAGGCCGGAGGATGCCCTCCTTCTGCCTTGCTTGGGTGTCTGCAGACGTGCCCAGAGGTGCTCAGTGCCCCAGCCGCCTGCCCCTGGCAGCCCTTCCCTGTGGAAATACCCGTGCCCCCACCCCTGCCCTCCCTCTCCCGCCAGCCGCCTCCCTCTCCCGCCCGCCCGGCCAGCAGTGCTTTCTGCACAGCAAACACTGGAGACTCTGCACCTGTTTGTGAGGGGCTGATGCTACCGAGAATAAGGTTCCCCCCTCTTCCTCAGTGGGGGCCTACTTCCAGTGGCCGGGGGTCCCAAGGCAGGCTCTCAGGTGTCCCGGCTCCGGCCACAGGTGTCCCTCAGAGGCCCCTGGGTCCACCCCCCGTGTCTCCTGCAGGGCCCATCTGCATCTGAGTGTATGGATGCAATACATGTGTTTTCTCTGGACCCTACGCTAATAAAAACTCCTCCACAAAACCACAGAGTGATCCAGCTTCTCAACATTTCCAAACTATACGAGTCAAATAGATAAAAACACCAGACAAACAGCAAGTAATGGCACCAGGGTATCTTGCAGGAAGGTTCCAAACTTGTGCCATGTCCCTTTCATTGTAAAAATGCTTAGACATCTCATGAACCGTGTGGCCAGCGGTCCTGTGATCCCGTCTGACCATCTCTGACAGCCTGGACCCGCTCCCCGGCCCCTCGGATGAGGAGTTTGTGGGTCCTCTTCCCATCGCTCCATTCCCCTCGGCCCCCGACGGTGCTCACCTTGGCCAGGGCCCCGTAGGCGAGCCCGAGGATGCCGTTCCACTGTATCCCCGGCAGGAAGAAACTCTCCGATTCGAAGATGGTGGCGATGTTGACGAGGAAGGAAGCGTTGAGGCCCTTGGTGATGGTGACCAGGTCCTCCCCCACGGCGCCCGTCCAGCTGCCCTGCGTGTACTTCACGGTGACATCAAAGCCCTTGGGGTGGAACGTGCTGGACCTGGATGGAGGAGAGCAGGGCTTAAGTGTCCCTGTCCCACAGTTAGCTGGCTGTGGGGGCAGACAGCTGTCCCAAACCCAGTCAGCTGCAAGCGGTTTCCACCAGTGCGCATCGAACCCGGTTCCATCTCCCCCCACACGCATGGCCACTATGTGTGGGTGGCAGCGTGTGGCAGGAAATACCGGGTTCACACGTGGTCCCTATGCATACAGCTCTCGTGCCCCCGTACAGGCCCATAGGTCCACTGCTCACTTGACTGTGCCAGCCTGGGAAGGCACCACTGCGGGTGGGCACCTGCCTGGCCATCTGGCTGGGTGGGGACCCTGCACTGGGCTTGGTGACACAGGGAGCAGCGCCACCAGCAGCTGAGGGCTCAGATTCACACAACCAGTGTAATGAGTCAAGACAAAGCCATTCCCGCCAACGCCACAGGCCTACCCCCTCAGGCCCCACACTCCCCCCTAATGCCCCGGGTTCCATCAGGGCTCCCCCCAATACCCCGAAGTGGATCATCCTCACAGCAGAATGTGGGGGATAAAGCAATGGCATGCCTGACACAAATCACTGGGCACCATCTCCCGCCCCATATGCTCAGAGCCCTAAGTATAGGTTACTCAAACACAGTGACTGAACGAGGTAAGATCATGGGCGGGAAAAATGACACAGAGGCAAACAGTAGGCAAGCGAACAAAGAAAACGCCAGTGATGGGAGCTATCCAGGGGACAGATCTACAGCAAGCATGTCAAACTCAAGGCTACCATGGGCCAGATATACAAGGTTTAGGTTTATGTATGTAAAAAACACAAAAGCTTCAATTTTCATAGATATGTAGGTTTACTTCGACAGAGACCTGCTGAATACAAAGGGCTGAAATTAATGAGTCATTGTTAACGTAAAATAATAGAACATTTTAATAAAAATTAATATTTTTTTCTTGAACATTCACTTACCACACACTGAATAACTGCACAAATTAATAAGTGTAACACAAATAAACCTATTTTTCTTGTTCTCTGAAAATGAAATATTTCCTGTTGTGCACACCAAATAAGTCAGTCCAAGACTAATGCCATGTCCATCGGCTGCTAAAATATTCTCTGCTGGTATTAGTGGAAAGAAATGGTGCGCCTGCACACAAGGTGCTAAGGGAAACGAATGCAACACGATGATAGGAATCCGTCATTAATACACATTGTAGTTCGTTATTAACAATTATGTATAACAGGATATTGTAAAAATTAAGTTACAAAATTTGTATGAAAATGTTTCTTACATACTCCAGAAATGACTGAGGGAATGTGCAGAGTCTGGTCAGAGAAAGGTAGGTGCCTGGGGATTGGTGACATGCCAAGCTTTAGAGACAACAGAAATTCAGGTGTGCTTGACAGGCAGCTGGGGCTACATTCATTTACACTGAATTGAATAAAAATAGCGAAATTATTCAGTCCCTTTCGACAATCTGGGGTCATCCCTCAAGTTGAAAAACACACAATTGCTAACAGAAGATGCTGATTATTTTGAGATGCTCGGAGGAGGTGATCTAGCACAGGTCGGCACCCCCTCTCTGTAAAGGGCCAGGAAATAAATGTTTACGCTCCTGTGGGGCACATGACCTCCGTTTCAGCTCCTCAGCTCCGCAAGGATAATAAGCAAGCAGCCTCTGACAACATGTGAGCAAATGTGCCTGGCTGTGTTCCAATAAAACTTTATTGACAAAGCAGACAGGAGGTCCCATGTAGCCTGTGGGCCCTAGTTTTGCCAGCTCCTGAGCTTGAAGATCAGCTCTCTTCTCCAAACAGTGGAAAAGCACTATCGTTTTCTTTTGAGAAATGTTTTTCTTTTCACTGCGTCCAGGCTCTTTGGTAGCGCCAAGAGCCTGAACATCTACCGTATTTCCCCGAAAATAAGACATCCTCCGAAAATAAGACCTAGCGCATGGAAAGATAAGACATCCCCTGAAAATAAGACCTAGCGCAACTTTGAGAGAAAAAATTAATATAAGACACTGTCTTATTTTCGGGGAAACAGGGACCTAATATGTCCTCTACAGTTTTCCCACCAGCTGCCAGTGCCCTGTGAGGGTGAGGGGGCAGGGGACCATCTGGATATTTCCTTGTCATTTGCAGAGAGATAAGAGGCCACTGGAGCTACAATGCTCGGGTTCAAATACCAGTGAAGCCCCTATCAGCTGTGTGACCCTGGGTCAGGCCATTTAACGTCTCTGTGCCTCAGTTTCCTGGACTCAGAATGGAAAGTATATAGCACCACCTCTCATGGGGTTAATTCTGAGGATGAAAGAGTGAATATGTAAAGCATTTGGGACAAGACCTTGGAACACGGCAGGTATACAACAAAAATAGTTGCTGTTATTATAATTATCTAATCACTTGCTACCTTTACTCAGTGTATGAATTGCTACAAAATGTAAGCTCCCCCTTACCCTCCGAAAATCTTCTGTAGAGCTGCTCTCCCTGAATATCCAAACTGTCTCATTCTAAGGTCTAGGCACCCCCACTGGAAGGGGAAAGTGTGTGGGGAAGGCTGGTTCGGGTGGCCAGGAGGTGGAAGAGCCTTTCAGGGTTACACACGGCACAGTTGTCCAGAGCTGGTGTGGCTCAGTGGATAGAGCATTGACCCATAGATTGGAGCCCCCAGGTTCTATTCCAATCAAGAGCCTGTGCCTGGAGTACAGGCCCGACCCCCAGTGGAGGGTGTGCAGGAGGCAGCCAATCAATGATTCTCCCTCATCATTGATGTTTCTATCACTCTCTCCCTCTCCCTTCCTCTCTGAAATCAATAAAAATATATATTTTTAAAAAGGTACAGTTATGTTTCAGACCAGCACTGCCCAGGAGACCTTACTGTGAGAAACAGTCTCTGGATGCCATCCCATTCAGCAGCCATGGGGGGGCTACGGAGCACTTAAAAAGTGATGATGGGCCCTAGCCAGTTTGGCTCAGTGGGTAGAGCGTTTGACCTGTGGACTAAAGGGTCCCAGGTTCAATTCCAGTCAAGGGCATGTACCTCGGTTGCAGGCACATCCCCAGTGGGAGGTGTGCAGGAGGCAGCTGATGGATGTTTCTCTCTCATCGATGTTTCTAACTCTCTATCCCTCCTCCTTCCTCTCTGTAAAAATAAATAAATAAATAAATAAAAATAAATAAAAAGTGATAATGGTGGGACGGAACACTGACCATTTACTTAACGTTAATTAACGAGCCACGTGTGGCTAACGGCTGCCCTTGCAGAGAGCACTCCTCAGCCACGTCCCCCGGGACCCACAGGCCCAGCCAAAGGCTCGGAGACGAACCGCAAGCAGCTCTGCAGGTTATCAGCGCGCAGCTTCCAGCACTAAATTAACAAACAGGTGCGTTCCTCCCCCTTCACGGTCTAACGTCCTGCCTCTTGGCGTTGAAAAGCCTTGGCTCTCGACTGCTCCGCACGTTAATCAGCCAAACGGAGTGGGAGCCCAGATCGGCTTCTCCTCGGCAGCATCTCAGCGTGCCCAGAAACAGCAGCCAATCAAGGATGCGGGAGCCAGGAAAAGGTCCACGCACCGCAATCAAACCGCTTTGCACCAAATTCAGGAGCCGCTCTCCTCTGCTGAGGTGCTCGGGGGACTTGGGATTGAAAAGGGAAATCAATGGGACCGAGGAGAAGAGAGCCCAGCACCTGTTGTTATTGCAAAAGAAACCACAACCGTTTCAGAAGACACGAGAGAGGAGGAGGAGGGCAGAACTCCAGGGCTCCACTGAGTCACGCCACCCGGGAGGCTCCTGCAGGCCTCTGCCCACTCCGTTCTATGCACATTTCAGACTTACCTTCAGGGTGGCTGGCCTGGCCCGGGGACCAGATCCCCCTCTGACTCTCCCACGGTCCTGGAAGTGACCGGAACAGAGGCCGCAGATGGCCCAAAGGCTCTAGGCCGGCCTGACCTGGTGGCTCATCAACATTCTCAACAATGGTCCATGCGAGGTGGCTCCAATAGGGCCAGTCCCCCCTGGACACCCAAACAACGGGCAGGCTCCATACATTACCTAAAGTCAGGCACTTGGAAATAATGTGTGGCTCAGGGGTTGAGCATCCATCCATGAACCGAGAGGTCACCGGTTCAATTCCCAGTCAGGGCACATGTATAGGTTGCGGGCTCGATCCCCAGTAGGAGGTGCACAAGAGGCAGCTGATTGAGGATTCTCTCTCATCATTGATGCATCTCTCTCTCTCTCTCTCTCTCTCTCTCTCTCTCTCTCTCTCTCTCATTAATGTATCTCTCTCTCTCATTAATGTATCTCTCTCTCTCTCTCTCTCTCTCTCTCTCTCTCCACACACACTCTCTCTCTCTCTAAAATAAATAAAAACATATTTTGGGGGAAAAAAGAATTGGGCAAAAATGTCCATCACCGTCACATGGACAGAGGAGGCATCTGGTTTGGGGGGTCCAGCTCAGCCTCCTTCAGGTTACCAGGTACTTCTCACATATTCTAATTCCCGTGCCATGCTGATCTGAGGGCTCCACCCCAGGTGGATTGTGGGAGGAAGGGAAACACTAATAGAAATATACTTAATTTCCTGAATAGATTAGCAGGTCAGACATGATCAGTCTATTGAATCTCTCAAGCCCACTGGCTGGAGGCTGTCAGATTGGCTGGAAAAGAAGCACATCTTAAACAGCACACCGCCTTCCCTCGGCTGTGGAGTAGTCTGTGGGACACTGGCTGCCCCGGGCAGCAGGCGTCAGATGGGAACGAGACACACCGATGACTCACGGCAGCCTGACATCCCATCTCCCAAATCAAAGAGACCTTGTCAAAGAGCCCCAGGCCCAGGCCCCAATTACTGGGGAAACGCTTCAGGAAGCACGAAACCTCAATCCCCAGTGTCTGGGGGACTTGAATTGGAGGCCGACAAACCCAGCTGAGCCTCATTCTAGCCGAGGGAGATCAGAGGGCCGAGCCAGCGGAGGCATCACGGCGCAGGCACTGCCCTTGTTGCAGAAGCCCCGGGAAGAGCTGGGGAAGGCAGCGAGAACCTTCTCCTGGCTCCACCGAGCAGCGGGGGAAGGTGTGCCTCAGGCCAACGCCATCGGCACCTGAATGTGTCAAACACATCACACGTCCTTTACACAGAGGCTGCGTTATGTTCGTCGTTCGTAGCTTCACAATCATACATCTGTAAGTCTATGGAAGCCTGGCAGACGGAGGCAGGAGCGGGAGGAAGGCAAGGTGAAGCTCAGCGTGGGGCAGCTGGCAACAAGACGTGCCTGCAGGCCAGCGGTGAGCCGCCTGGATCTGGCTCGACTAAGAAAAACCGTGGCCTTGTTGAAGCATGTTCTCTTTACAGGAAAGGTGGGCTCAGGGACAGAGGCCAATGGGAGTGATGTTCTAAGGTGCTAGAGTGGGCCCTGAATCACGTGGGTCGTGTTTAGGGTTCCCATATCAACCCTTAACACGACCCGCGTGATTAGGTTTCCCACAACTAGGAAGATCTCAGGCCCTCACCAGTTTAGCGCAGTGGAGTGTTGGGTTGGCCGGTGGACTGAAGGGTCCTGGGTTCGATTCCGGTCAAGGGCATGTACCTCGGTTGCAGGCTACTTCCTGGCCTAAGTCCTGGCCGGGGCTTCTGCAGCAGGCAACCCATTGATGTGTTTCTCTCACATCCATATTCCTCTGTCTTTCCCTCTCCCACTCCCTCAATGGAAAAATATCCTGGGGTGAGGATTAAAAAAAGAAAAGAAAATCTCACTAATTTACTCCTTGCGAGTCAATCCAGCTGTGGTTTGAATGACAGAAGTGCCCATGGGATGAATGCACACGTAGTTTCGGGGGGGGGGGGCACCACCAAGACTCTGTGCCAACGAGGAAAATCCCGCCTTCTCCCCAGGCCGCTCTGGGGCCCGGGTCTGTCTCAGCCAGCTTGTTGCCAGCCTGCTCTGGGCACCGGGTACCCGCGGTGAGCTCACAGCCTGCCCGGCAGCATGCGTCTCCAACTGCTGTCCACCCAGATGTTCACATATGGAGGTCCTGACTCCTTCGATGTAAATGCCCCCTTCTCTCCCTAACGGGACATCGGGGCCACCAGAGCTGCGTATGCATCGCTTCAGGGCACCACAAAGGAACTCCGTACAAACTACAGGACAACACTGAGGTGGGTTCCCCACAGCCCAGGCCCCGCGCAGTCTCCTGCCCACCTCCCGGGCCTCTCCCAGCTCCAGTTCCCGCCACATTAGGACCAGAGAGGCCACAGCCAACGCCCGGGACATGTGCTCTCTGCACTCGGGTGTCACTATAAAGATGCTGACTTGCACTTTTCTGAATCGAATCACAAGCATGTACAGAGACGATTAGAATGTCCTATGTCCTATGGCAAACTGTGGCTCACAAGCCACATGCGGCTCTTGGGCCCCTTGAGTGCGGCTCTTCCACAAAATGCCACGGCCTGGGCGAGTCTATTTGGAAGAAGTGGCATTAGAAGAAGTTTAAGTTCAAAACATTTGGCTCTCCAGAGAAATGTCAATCGCTGTCCTATTGATATTTGGTTCTGTTGACTGAGTTTGCCAACCCCTGTCGTATGGATTCCCCCAGAATGAACACAGATGCATTCACACATACACTGCACACACACACCACACACACAGATACTCTCACAAACATAGACACATACACACAACTATGTACTAGTGCAAACATATACCTTCCTTAAGATGAAACAGACTGGCTGTTTTACTCCGGGGTACTTTGAGGAACTGGTGTGGTCCCCCAAGACCGGCCAGACCCATCACTCACCTCTGGCTGTCAAAGTAGGAGTCTATGTTCGGATGCGGGGCGCCGGCCACAGCGAAGTTGCTGCTCCCGGTGTCCACGAGAATCTGCAGCTTTGGTTTTTAAAGGGAAGAGGGGGGGGGGGCATCAGGTTACTTGAAAGAGACCATACTCTTGAACGATTCTTCTAAAAATTAACTGCTCATCATCTATTACTTGGAAAAACTTAAATTGATTGGACCATTTTTAGAAAGCTGCTATACAACGGACATGTGAACCCAGTCTACGAAGCAGCTGGCAGCAGGGAGGGGAAACGGTTTTGCCTCCGATCCACAGCAAGCCTTACAGAGAACAGATTCCGAGAAATAGCGGGGATGTCCTTCCTAAGCCACTGGCACGAACAAGGCAGACCCTCTCACCCCAGGCTGTCGGCCAGGTCTGTCAGCGGGCTGGGCCCACCGACTCCCGCCTTTCCCGTCTCACTTGGAAATCCCGATCCAAAGGGGCCTCCCTCATCCCTGCTGCTAGCACCTGGGAACTCTGGTCACAGACCTCATTTTTTGTTTCAACGAGGTATAACTTACGGCTAATACAAGTGCAAGATCTTTGATTTTCCACTGATGCATTTAGATTAAAGTGACCGGACGTCCCGCTTTGGGCAGGACAGTCCCGATTTTTAACAATGTGTCCCGCGTCCCGGGACAAATTATTAAAAATCAGGGTGGGACAAACTGTTAAAAATCGGGACTGTCCCACCAAAAACGGGGCATCTGGTCACCTTCATTTAGATGTGGTGTCCCCGCAAACCAAGATACAGACATTTCTCCTCTTTCCACAAGATCCCTATATGCCCCTTCCCAGTCAGTCTCTCCTGTTCTGCAATTCCCATCCCTTCTTACATCATTTAGAATTTTGATGGAGGCCTCCACACTGGGCATAATGGACGAAATCTTTGGCCATGGGTGACTGACTCAGAGTCCAACCCCCGCAGCTCACCCCCTCCTTGCCCTCCACCCCGCCCTCCCTTTCCCTCTCCCCCACCCAGGGAGGTGAGACTGAAAGCTCCAATCCTCTACTCCCAGGTACTTCCCCATCCTCAGGGGCTTTCCAGAGCCAGGCTCCTGAAGGTACTGGGTGTGGTTCAGAGGGCTTATCAGGACTAACAAAAGGCCTTTTATCACTCTGGTCACTTGGGAACTTGCTAGGGTTTCAGGAGCTCTGCCAGGAACTGAGATGAAGACCAAGTATATGTTTCTTCTAACACATCACAATGTCACACGTGATCTGTGAGCGAACAGCAAGGGTCCGACCTGGCCCGCCATGGGAATGAAACTCACCCAGCACCAAGGCCACTGTCCCAACAGCGGACACCCGGTGCAAGCAACGTGAGCTAATGCAGAGTGTCCCCCAAAATGTATGCTCACTTTAACAGCTGATAGGTGTTTTAATAAACACTGGCTTTGAGAAGATTGAAAGGCTAATTCCAATGTAACCCTGAAGTTTGGGTAAGGGGGTGGGGGTGGGGGTTATAGCAATCTGGATCTGTGCCAGTCACCTAATGTACATCCTTGGTGACCTATAATTAAGTCACTGCCCCTTTCTCCACAATCCAGTCATACAAGACCTGTTACTAAATGCTCCCACGTTACAGATGCCGTAAACCATGAACAACACACAACCCCCGGAGGTGGTTATCAGCGCTGGTGCCAGGCCAGGTCCTTAGATAGGGTCGCAGGGCCCCTGTCCTAACCCACCGGGCTTTTTGCAGTGCCCACGAAAGGTCCGGAAGGCCCCATCCATATTTGGGGGACAAAGAAGCCAAAGGGGATGAAATAAGGGCTTCCACCATATTGGTTTGCTCAGACTTTGGAGGTGACTCCTCGGAGACCGCCGGTGTAATGAAGCTGTGTGATTCCATTCCTCTAAGGCGTTGCTTGGGTTTCTTTGATCTTCTATAGCACCTTTATCATGACTCAGTGTGTGTGTTCCCATTTTGGCGGGACACCCAGGGCCCTGAGTCTGTGTCCCCGTCTCCAAGGCCTGGGTTCACATGTTTCCTGGAGGCCAGGTGAGCTTCGCAAGTTGCCCGGGTGGAGGCAGCAGGGAGGAGGGGGGATAAAGCCAGCATCCCTTTGTGAGGCCCATCGGGGAACTTCAGGCCTTTCAGAGAAGGGAGTGCAGTGAGAAGTTCTCCTCAGCCATTCAAAGTCCCAGAGAACAAGATATGGATTCCGGAACCAACATCCCTCCTCTCCCCGCCGTGTCTACAGCGGCTCCCCGAGTCCTGCTGGCAGCCACACAGCCCACAGCCCAGCAGGACTCCGGTTCCCAGGCTGGCATCCACACCCCCGCCCCCAGCGCCTGCGCACGGGCGTGGCCAACGTGGACACAAGACTATTGTCCTGGGCACAATGGCCCCAGTGACGGGGACCGTCTTGGCAGGCATCGCTCCCTTCTTTCCTGGGTGTGGAATTCCACCCACAGCCTCTGCCTCATGTCAGAACCCCGTCCTGCACACACCCCCGTCCTCACCACCCTGCCACGCCGCACGCTGTCCCTGCTTCACAGAAGCGGGGGCCACACATGTGGAGACAGCCCCCCCAAACACAGGCTGCACCACGTCACACCGACGACTCCAGCTGCCCGGGCATTCTGTCCCGCCGTCCCGGCCAGCTCAGCAGAAGCCGGCTTCCAGAAATATCCACAGCCATGCACGACTCGGCAACGTTGGTCACCGCCTCGGCCGCTCCTACAGTGTGATTCAAGGAGACACATCACCTCGATAATTGAGGCAGCCGCCCTATCAGGCGAGGGATGGACATCCAGGGAGCAGTAAACAGGCGGGGGCGAGGGGGTACGGAGGGTAGGGTTGCTTCTGGTAATGTTTCTGCCAGTAAATCAGCCAACCCTTCTCCTGCCCGATGGTGCTGGGAACGGACATTTCTCAGGTTGATTTCTCCCCGGGGCCAGGGCAAGCAGTGTCAACTGAAAAGGAAGAGAAAAAGATTGCCACTTGCCCTATAATTGTGCGCCATCCACTGTAAAGGGACGAAGGGTCAGAATGGGAGGCTCGGGGCGCAGGTTTCATCTGGAACCACACCCCTCTCCACAGGCCACCACGGTCGCCTGCTGCTTCCTTTATCCTGGGAATTCCCCAAACCATCTCCTGCCTCCTCAGGTTCGATGCCACACACATGACAATCTCACCCCTGAGCACACCAGTCAGCCCCACAGGGACGCTGAGAATACACGTGGCCTCAGATTCGTGGCATGTTTTGTGCACATGGGCTGCACGCCTCCCACGGCCCCTTGCCCCTCCTGGCGATGTTGGGGCACTAACCACACAGAGAACCACGGCTGACTGCCTCAATAGGTAAAGGGAAGAACTGGTTATGGACCCAGTGAGCCATCAGCAGCCCTGGACTTCTCAGATACCACTGTCTCTTTTGCTGCAGGTTAATAGGAAAATTAGCAGATAATCTAAATAATGGCCCGTTTAACACAGCGGTTCCTAATCACATCAGCGGCCCGTCTGCCGGCGTCTGCTGCCAGCGTCCTTCCCGGCCCAGCCACGCGGGCTGTCGGCCTACAGAGACTCCACGGGGTTGTCGGCGCCCCACTTGCTAATAGGGTCCTTTCCGCGCCTCGGCTCTAGGAACGAACCCCGTTTCCTTCCACGTCGCTTGTGAAAGAGAGCAAAAATATTGCCACGAGCCATTTCTCCACAATCTAGATTGAAATTAAGGTTGTTTCTATAAAGAGGGGGTGGGGAGGGAAACCAATTCCAAACACTTAACACAACCAGATGTTGAGGAACTTCGCTCGGAAGAGCTGGTTTGTGCTGTGTACTCAGGCTCTGCACCGTGCGCGCGCACGCACACACACGTGTACTCAGGCTCTGCATGTGTACGCACATACATGTACTCAGGCTCTGCACGTGTGCACGCACATACACGTGTGTACTCAGGCTCTGCACGTGTGTGCGCACATACACGTGTGTACTCAGGCTCTGCACGTGTGTGCACACATACACGTGTGTACTCAGGCTCTGCACGTGTGTGCACACATACATGCTGGTACTTCTGCCACGCACCACAGGCCCGGCTAGGAAAACCCACATCCAGAGTCCTGCGGACGGATTCCGGGGCTCCTTGGAAAACCAGGGCTGCCGAGGGCACAGGGGGGAGGGGAGGGTCCGGCCCAGCTGCCTGTTTCCAGGCGGGGCCCCAGCTTTCCAAGGAGTGCGTGGCACTTAGCAGGGAGAGAGGGGCTGTGGAGGGTGAGGTGGAGAGAGCAGGATCTGGGGGCGAGGGAGGGTGGGTGTGGGGTCCCCGTTGGAAGAAAAGCTGAAAAGTCACGCCCGGATCAGAAGCCCTCTGGACACGGGAGCTGCCACCGCCTCTGTTGCCGAAACCTGTTCCCGGGTGGCGGGGCGGCGACAGAGGGAGGGGTGCTCCAGAGTCCTGAACCTTCCAAAGCACCCCTCCCCGATGGGAAGCAGAGAGGGGAAGGTGGCGAGATGTTAGCACGTGCCCAGAGCTGGCGGACATGGTCCGTTCCTACGGGTGCTGCCTTAAGTCCACTGGTCCAGGGCGGAGGGGACACGCAGGGAAACCTCTGTTGATGGAGGGCAAGCTGATCTTCTCTTCCCCAAAGAGACAACTAAAAACACCCCCAAACCCTTCCCACCTTGTCAGGGGTTTTAGAAAATGGCATTTCAGCCAAAAATCAGCTCTCTCTGCGCATGTCCCGAAGGAGCGGGAACAGACCCTCCTCCCACGGGCAGTGTCTGACCGCAGGCTGTTCTGCAGGCTCCTCTGGCTTGAGCTGGGCCTGGCGATAGGAAAGGCTGTTAGGTCCGAACTTCCCCTTAAACACACGGGTTTCACTTCATCTTATTTTCCAGCATCCCATAGTGTCCGTTCCTCGTCCATGTTTGAAAAAGAACCATGAAAGGAAGATGACGCGCACACACTGGCAGCAGCGGGCACGATGTTCAAGTTGCTCTTCCAGTCAAACCTCAGTCCTCGGATGCCTCCCGGCTCCAGCAACCTGTTTCTCAGCCCGGGAATTGTTCCCACCCATACCTGCAGGACCAGTCCGTGCCTCTCAG